GGGAAAATGTGTGACTTCTCATTACTTCTGTCTTCCCATTTTCTGGTATATTATAGATACATTGCATGCCTGTCTGAATGTATTGCATGCATGTAACTTAAAATGCCTCTAATGCATGGGCCATCCTCAGCGTTTGGGATACTCATGAGCCAGGCTAAGAAAGTCTGAGCTGGCATGAGGGAGCCTCCTTAGATAAGGTAGCTTGGGTTAAATGGGGGGGAAGGTTGATGATCAAACAGTTCTGACTGACATATTTTCCTTTAGTCACTCAACAGGCACTTTTATCTCTGTGCTTGGAAACAGTTATCCTAGTAAGCATCCTGAGTAACCATATTTGTCCTTAGTACTCTCAGATGTAAAGATGGGAAAGCAGCAAGCAGCATTTTTACATCTCAGTTCTATTTTTTCTTCCCTGAATAGCTGGTTGATACTCATATAGTTCTAGATCATTGATTGTATAGACACAAACATAATCAAATTAGCTCTATATAATTTCTGTAGAAATTTTCATATTTAGGAACTGGTTATCTACATAAAAGTCTTTTGGTGATTACAATTTTAGGTTGAAATTTGGAGTTGTATGAATTCATCTTTGCCAGGTAAGCAATAGAACTGCAACATTTAGCACTTTATTTTTTAAAACTTATTTTGTGATTGTAAAATCTGTGTCATAGTCCTGTAACCTAATGTTTACCCTTGAATTTCTATCCTCTCCTTCCTGTAGGCACCCAAATTTTCAAATGTATAATTAATTCTCATTCACTCAGTCCTTAATGGTACTCTTGTCTCCACTTCTACCATTCTATTGAAACTGGTCTTTGAAAGATCACCAGGATCTCTTGGTTCCTAGATCTTATGGCTTTTTCTCAGTACTTCTTCTCTTTGACTTCCCTGTGACACTTGATATGATTGACCACTCCCTCCTTGTGACTTCACCTTGGCCTTGTGACTTTGCCCTCTCTTATCCCCACCTCTCCCACGCACTGTCCCCCCCATAACTACCACAGTTATTTCTGTGTGTGGTCCTCTTCCCTTCTCTCTCCACATTCACCCTGGTAACCACATTCCTTCCGAGAACTGTTATCTAATCAGCTCTGGGAAGATAACTTTCAAATCCAAGTCATTGTTCATGACCTCTACACGTCTTTACCTGGATCTGTGCATCCAGGTGGCATCTGAAGTGCCAATTCAAAACCAAACTCATAACTGCTTTCTCTTGTGAATGACACTCCAGACTGGAAGCCCTCAAGTCATTATCTCTGATAGCTTTTTCTTTTTAGCTCATTGACTCTCTTCTTGTAAAATCTTGCATCTATCCTCACTATTCCTAGTTCAAGCCTTTATGATTACACCTTTGGGGTAGATTATTGCAATAACCTTGTAACTGGTGTTTCAATACACCATAGCTGTCCTCCCCACCCCCTTCAAAAAAAACCCCTCCGGGGATATCCACTTCCATCAGAATAAAGGCCAAACTCCCTAGCCTGGCATTCATGGTCTCCTAGGATTAAAGCTCATTTTCCAGTCCTGGTTAAAGCCAGTGCCTTGAAAAAAAGGGACTATATCTTATGTTTCTCTGAATTCTGAAGGCTCTCACACTGTTTGAAGTTTTCATTTCAAACAAAGTGGACTGTTTGCTTCCTAGAATTGCCCACGTCCTTGCTTGTTCTCCCAGTTATCCCTCTCCCTAGTGTCTGCAATTATATATATGTGTGTATTGTTCCTACCAAATTGTAATCTCCATAAAGGGATAAATCATATATTTTATCTATCTCATAGCCCACAAAATACCTAATAGAGTGCCTTGTACATAATAGGGGTTCAGTGAATGTAAATGCTTGTTGAATAATTTAATATTTTCTAAGAGGCACTGGATATGTGAAAACAGTAGTAAAATGCATTATGGTGTAAAAGTTCACAGAGTTTATGACCTACATTGATTCCATTCAAAATTCTTTCTAGAATATGAGTGATTCTGAATAGCAAGCAGCAAAGATTGAGAGGAAACTAACTATACTAGGCAATGGGACTAGATGGGAGTCTGTTGCCCTTTATACCATTAAAACATGTAGGGTTATAGAAGCTTATGATATGCAGGATTTTTAGCCAGTTTTAACAATCGGGATGGTTTATGATTATATTTTGAGAGCTTTGTCTGTCCATGGGCCATTTGTTTGCTTTTGTTTGTTTTGTTTTTTAGCAGAATACTTCTATTTGTTATATTAGGTCTTAGTTTCCTGTAGAGAACTATGTTACATATTGCCTTGAATCCCTGACATTTTTAAAAAATGGAAATAATAATCTAATGTACATGTGGATTTGCAGATCTATGTATTATATGGAAGCAGCATAAAGCATTTCTTAAAAGAGATAAGAAGGAATTTGCAGCATTCCTACAAGTGAATCTTTTCTTTTTTCATAATTATTACTTATATCTCCTAATTTTATCCTAGGAGTTATTCATTGACATTTATGATTGCAAAAAGGGATCTGAAAATTGCATTAGAACACTTTGTAATTTTATCACCTTTTGGTATCACTGTAATTTGGTTGGAGAAATAGAGCTATGCATAAATTGAGCCAGAATAGTCATTTTGCCCCACAATAAAGTATACCCATCAAAGTCAGTCATGGCTCACAGGAGATGTTCCTGTCTGTTTACTAAGTATCAGTTTTTAAACAGCATCATGTGTTTTATGCTATTCTAGGTATTTAATATTTTGAATGTTGGAATACAATAATACTCATGCCCTTTTTTGTTTGTTGGCTTATTAAGTTAAATTGGAATCCTTTCCTCTTCTGGTTCATAGTCCAAAGGTGAAGAAAGCCTCTCATTGCTTTCCTTAGCCTGTATGTCCTCTAGAGATTCTGTTTACCTAAGAGTGAGAATGAGCTAAAGAGAGTTTAGGGTGGGGAGGGAGAAGAGGGAAAAAAACAAAGGACCTGGTAATTATGCTGTGAGGGACCCTGAGAAGACTGATAGCATTGAGAGTAAGGGTGGGAGGAGGGGCTTCATACTTTGAGACCCTGCTATCTAAGCTAGCTTTCTTATGGACACCTGCTTTGACTTGTAGTGGTATCCATGAACCAGTTTGGCACTCTATTTGTGTTTGTCACTACTTATGACCAAAACATTTGAACATTTTGTTTTTAAGGTGTGTTTAAGAAGTCTGATGGCTGGGTTGGCTTAGGCTGCTGTGAACTGGCTATTACCTTGGAGTGTCGACAGGCCTGCAAGCAGGTAACACTTGGCAATCAGGCTCTTAAGCAGCGTGGAGTAGAGTTTCAGTTTTGGCTGTGTCTTGGACCTAGCCTACCTCATATCTTTGGAGAGGTGACCCATAAAAGCTGCAAATTTATCATTTCTTACATGGACCATTTCCTTTTAGACATGCTGCCTTTTCAGTTATGGCTGCTGCATGTAAGACCCTCAGCCTTCTCTTATTCTTTCTTAACTTCTATCTGCCACACAAAGAAAGAATATGATAGGAATCAAGGCCTTTTGTATTCTGCCTATGGTCATGCTTAGTCAATGCTGAATGACTCCAAATGGTCGTGTAAATTTCAGGCATGCTTGGATGAGAGCAGTTGACACAGTTGGCTTATTTTGCTTTCATCTTCCCTCTGTCGTTCATCATGGGTTTACTCTGAGTATGTTCTTTTATACCTTCTCTGCCCCTAAGGTGAGCCTGACTCCTACAGTGAATTATGACTTCTCTTTGATTTGATATATCTCAGGTCCAATTCAAGTTAGGCCCCTGAGCTCTTCCTCACTGTATATTTTCATAGTGGTTCCTCAGAGTGCTGTGGAAAAACTGGTCTCCTGGCTCCTCGTACTCCAAATGGTGGGAGTATGGAAAACTGGGAAATTTAAGTGTCCCTAAAACTAAACTGGAAAGCCTTCTCTTATTTTCTCCTTCTAGTGACTGGTCTCTAGACAGGAGTATATGAGACATGGTGATGCCTTCGCTTTCATACAGACCACTGAGCCACACTTTTTGGGCAGCACATAGCCTAGCTATCTGCTGTTCTCCTCCAGGCATTGAGATGAAACTGAGTTGTAGAGCATTTGAGCTATAGTACATCTAGTGGGCCACAGAATAGTTGCCAGTCCATTCTGCTTCTTGCTTTCCCTGTCCTCATCAGCTGGTCTATTCAGAATTGCATGAGCCTAGGTGATAGAACAGGAGGAAATAGAACAAGGAACCAGAGTCCATGGCTCTGGAACTCCGTCTCTAAATGAGGATTATCATCATGTGGAAGAACAGCCACCCCTCAGCAGATTTGTTTTGGCTTGTTTTTTATAGAAAGTGTATACTTAAATGTAGTAAATAACTTTCTGTTTTTCTGTGTGTCAGTTTCCTCATCTGTAGAAGGAATAATATCTTCTACATAAACTTGTTAAGAAAATTACATAAAAATAACTTATTAATTGCCTGGCATTGCCTTTCCCTCTTTAGTTGTCTCCCCTGTTATATATGGATCTTGGCTCATATGGGAACTTAAAACATGAAGGGTTAAAGAAAAAGAAAACTATAAATGCCCTAGCAAAGCTTCACAAGAAAATTCACTGCAGCAGAGCTTCAGAGCTTCACAAGAAAATTTGCTACAGAATGGAATTCAGCTTAAAAAAAAAGTCCTCTGATTTACATTTCCTTCAAAGTTATCTAGTTTCTGAAATAACAAAAGGACTGTGTCATTATGTGAGATTAAAGCCATAAAAGTTAGAGTGAAATTCTAGCATATCTGGAGCTAATGTTTGTTTAATGTGGATTAAATAAATTAACGCAGAAATTTGTTATTTTTTAGGCATCTTCAAAAAATGATATTTCCAGAGTTTGCAGAAAAGAATATGAGGTATGCATTTTATTTAACAAATTTGGATAGACTAATTAGATTTTATCAGAATTGATAAAATCACTCAAATTTTAAAAATGAATTCATCGTTAAATAAATTGCCTTTTACTTTACAGAAAATATGGCGTTGAGAAAAATGTCATTTACCTTTTTTAGAAATGTTATAATTTCAATTAACTTGTTGAAATTAAACGTTAATTTGAAAGAAATGCCTAAATCACATATACAGAGGATTTAACCTTTAATGTTTTCATAATAAAGCAACTGGTTGTAAACTAGTTTTTCTTAGGTTCCATATCCTTTTTTGCCCCTTTTCCTATACCTTGATCCATCCAGGTATCCACTTTTATCAACTACCTCTAATTGGAAGAAACAAAGTCACATTGCTAGTGTGAGTAGCTTCAGACTTTCCTAGCATCTTACATTTGGGGGGGAAAGGTACATACCAAATTACAAAGGCTATTAAATCTGAAGGACTCTTGTCTCCCAATGGTGGTGTTTCAAGCACTGTGGTATCTAGATTGGGTGTGGCGGGGGACACAGGTTGAGGAGGGGCAGAGGTAGAGGAGGTATTTCACACCAGGCAAATATGTACAAAAGATTGTCCCTAATGTGATAAAGCTCCTCACTGGGACTACTTTGTTCAGTTCCTAGAACTTCATTGTTAAGTATGACAATATTATTATTTTTTATAGTGTAAGACCGTGTAATAAAGCATACTTAAGCACATATGCCTCATTCATCATTTGTATGTATAAACATTGAGATTCCTATTGCTTTTAATAGTCTGTATTCTCTTGGAGAAGAAAGATAGAACAACTCTCTTAACTGCTTCTAGATTATAGTTCTGGTATTTTTTTCTTTTCTCAAAGCCTGTAATTATATCTCTCGATTAATATTTTGGAATTGGAAAAATCTTATTTATCCTTTGTTCCTTTGTACTATTGCTAAGTTATATCTGTTTCTCTGAAGACAAATTTCCAAATTAACTGCAACTCTTCTCTGTTCTTATTGAAAAGAGCCTTTCTACAAAGAAGTAAAAGATCTTTCTTTTTTTTCTTATCTCTCTACCTTTGAAATAACTAGTTTTAGTTTCTCTTGAACAAAGTGGCTAACTGTGATAATTCCTTCTTTTCTCCCACATGATGTCTGACACTGTCCATCTCCTGTAGCCTGTCCTCCATTATTTTAGTGTGCTTCCTTCTCTTGTCTGGATTTCTGCATTGCCCTAGGAAGTCTGCCAGTATGTGTTGATGAAGGACGGGACAGGAAAGGTAAGAGAGATAAACACTGTCCTATGAGAGAAATACTAAGAGTAGTTTACCTTTTCCAGTCTATCCTCCCCTATTTGGCCTAGAATTAAGCAACTATCTTCCAAAAATATACATGCCAAGAAGGTTCTTTCGCATATATATAAACGTAAAATATATATATGTAATACATATATGTAAAGTATACATGTGTTTTATATATATATGTGTGTTTTATATATATATAAAACTGTACAAATTATTCAAGATAATTCAAGATTCAATTTGATTTTTTATGTTATTTAGAAATAAAAAGAGAGACAAGAGCACTTTAACACAGAAAGAAGTTTCTGCATTATAAGCCCCAAATAACAGTCACTCTCACTGAATTGTTAGTCTAGTCTAGATATAATGGCTATTTGTTTTAAAGTGAATTGGGTAACATTGGTGTAGTGCAACCTATTTTAACTGGATTAGTTGCTTATCAACATTAGAATAATTTATAAAACTAGGCTTTTGGTACCTTTTCCTTAACACTGGAGTGGTCCCTGGAAGTGAACTTCCAGATGTGTAAGCTATTCCTTTAGGCTTACAACTTTAGGGGTTAACATTTACCCTGAAGGATGGTGTTGTGCAGTTTGACTAGAGATTCAGAGAATGAGTGGTTATATTTGAAGGAGCTAATGTTTATCTTTAGTGATAAGCTGCAGCAGAATCCCCTTTGAGGGGATTTCCTGAGAAATTTACTTACATGAATAAAGTTTAAAATTTTTATGCCATTTAAGATTGTTTTGTTCCAACCAAGCTAAGATAAACTAGTGAAATGTAAAGCATTTTTATGTCTGGTTTTATAGTATCTGGTTTCTTTTTAGGCAAATCAACAAATATTTATTGAATAGTGAGAGGCAGTTTTATTATATTAGAAAGAAAACAAACTTTCGGGAATTCCCTGGTGGTCCAGTGGTTAGGACTCCATGCTTCCACTGCAGGGGGCACGGGTTCGTTTCCTGGTCGGGGAGCTAAGATCCCTCATAGCTGCACAGCGTGGCCAAAAATATATAAATAAAATAAAATTATCTTAAAAAAAGAAAGAAAACAAACTTTGAAGTCAGACCTAGGTTAGAATTATGGTTAAGCTACATATAGCTCAACTTCAAATACTAAAGAATTATACCTGAGTCAAGATAGTTAAAATATGTACTGAACGTGCAAGAACTCAAGGAAATTGGAAAGCAGACTGAGCATGTTGGGAGTTAACAGGGAAAACTTTGCAAAAGAGAGGCCTGAAAGGATTGGTATAATTTGGGTCAGAAGACTGGATCAACAGCATGTTAGCAAAAATGCATATGACTGAGGTGGGGGGTGAAAAAGAAGATAGGCCTATTTTGGGCTGAGAATCTGCTTGGATAGGCAAAGTGGGACCAGATCCTGGAAAAATGATATTTTGGGGCTCAGCCCATTATTTAGTAGAGGGAGATGATAAAGATTCTGTGATAGGAGACCAACATAACAAATAAAAGTCCAATATTTTAGAAAGTTTCAAGTGTTAGGTATGTGCAGGCTAAGTTTTAGATCCCCCAAGTTCCTCTAACTTAGCTAAAAACAAATAAGGCCCACAATTTGCATGATAGCAATAAAATCGAGTATTTGGGAATAAATCAGAGATTTGAAGTTAGAGTCCATCATTCAGGATTTGTTATAAAGGATTGAATATAGGAGATGATGTTCAGGGAAATATAAAAAACAATTAGTGAATTGGGAGATAGGACTAAAGAAGTTATATGGAAAAGCAGCGCAGGATAGGCTGAAAGAGAGTTTAAGGAACATGGAGAATAGAGGAAGTATTCTAATTGGAATACTCAAAGAAGAAGAAAGAATATGGGACAGAGGCAGTGTTTAAAGAAGCCCAAGAAATCTCCAGCAGGATTTTTTTTTAAATCCATACGTTACAGACAGACCTCATAGCCACAGGTCTTAAAAGCAGTCAGGAAAAAAGACATTGTCTTCAAAGGAGGTCAACAGCTGATTTTTCAGTAGCAATAGAGGAAGCCAGGAACAGTGGAATGATACCTAAACTGTTCTGAGAGAAAATAACTATCATATCCAGCAAAAATAATTTTCAAGAAAGAAGGCAAAATTAAGGTATTTCCATACGACAGAAACAGAGAATTGCCAGTACTGGACCCTTGCTAGAAATCCTTCTTTAAAGGAAGTTCTAAAATATCTATAATTATTTGAGATGCAAAGGAAAATGAGAACAATAAAAATACAAAGTGACTAAGTTAAAACACACACAGGTTGTATAAAACAGTAGTAATTTATTATTGAGTTTAAAAAAAAAGAGAGAAAATACACAGCAAAGATAGCATATACATTGGGAAGGGATTTTAAAGAAATTGAAGTATATTGTTAGGTCTTTTTAAGTGTAAAAACCCATATCTCAGAGGTAGTTAGGAATACCAGACTAAAGATGAGGAGAGATCATGCCCAAAGTCAACCATGAAGTAACCCTTGAACGTTGAGAGTGAAAGAAAGCTTTATGAAAGAAAAAATATAGAAAAAATAGAAAGCTGATTTTGAAAATCGTTTTTAGGGAATGGAAAGAGAAGGAGCCATGTACTGATCTGACATTCAATGAGAATATTAGATTGAGATATTCCAAGAAAAAGAGAAATTCTTATTAGTGAAAGTGTTCAAAGCAAAGATTTACTGGATAAATACATTGTGGAGGGGATTTCTGCAATGGACAAGAGATTTGGCTATTCTCCCATCTTTGCAGTTCTCTTATTCTGACTCATACCTATGAAAGAGTACTTCCTTCAGAAATTGAGAATACTTCTTTCAGAATCACACACATTTGGTTAGAGCTATCAAAATCAACCAGTGGCTTGATAACTCCATCACAGACGTGTTCAAGTGTCATGGGCATGCTTGGTTCTAGGTTAGCCATGCGTTTTCACAGGCTTGGTCTTGGCCCATCTAGACGTATTTATCACGCCACATGCACTCATGGATGTATGACACTAGACCAGGGATAATATTTAAAATATTAAACAACTGGAATGACCGGCACCAACAATCAGAACAAATGCTGGATATAAACTAGAGCCATACTAGTTTAGCCATACTAGGGCAAATTGGCTGATTAGAACTAAAGTAAAAACTTAATCATGTTTTCCATGAGGTGTGAGACATCTAGTGTGTAATACTTTTTGCATAGTCTTTGTCTATAGCTGGCTGAAAACATTTTCTTCTAGCCACCAAGACGGTGGTTAAAAACAAAAATTGGTTGTTGATAGTGATTTTCTTGAATGTCAGAATAAACATCAAGATGATATGAGGCTGGTGTATTTTCAGAGACCTGGCAGTGTCTGTAACATGATGAGACAAATTTTAGTTTCAGGTTCATAAACCCATTTCATACCTTTATGTCACACCTTACCTGCCGTTCTCTAACATAATGGCCATAAATATATATACCTTTCCATTTGCTGCACGAGCCACTGAAATACAGTGTTGCAAATTTGTCCTCAGACTTTTGTGCTTTTACTTTTTTATTCCTTCTTTCACAGATCCTTCTCTACGCTTTTCTTTATATTGTTTTCAGAAATGTGATTTTCAATTCTCTCCTTTCTTCCTAGCTTTCTTCAGTCCAGTTATTTGATGTTATTTCATTAGGGAAGTTGAGAAACTGAAGGAAAGTCAGTAGGAGATATTTTTGTTAGGCTTTGCTTTTTTTTTTTTTTTTTAAGCTTAATCCATTTAAGTTTTAAACTAAACTGTTGCTAAAGAAGACTAAAATAATGTTCTGTCTTGGGGCTCTGGTTCTCTGAGAATGCTGAGATAAAATTAAGACTCTGAGGATATTAAAAAGGCTCTAAGAACCACAAAAACAAAGATGGTCAGCCTTGTGAGTGCCAGGCTCAGTTGCGTCAGCACTATCCTATCAACACACAGCTAAATGCATAAGAGAAGAGTGCAGGTATGTGTTAAATTTTATTTTTTGAATATTCACATGTTCAAAATTCAAAACAGTATACAATAAAAAGTCTCTTTCCTACCTCTTATACCACAGCCACCCAGTTCCTAAGGTCACCAGAGATATTTTATGCACATAAAAGTAAATATGTATATATAGTCCTCTTCTACCCTTCTGTACACAAATGGTAGCTTACCACACACTTTGTGGTACCCGTGGATGCCAGTGTTTGGTGCATATTTATGTATGTCTGTATGGGCTGTCCAGTGTATCCTCAGGAAATGTCGCAATAAAATGTTCTGTTTTAAAGATTTCTATGTTTTAATTTTATTTTGTTCCTTTTCTCTCAAATTAACCTTGATTCTAGATTTACCACCAGAAGCATAAAGGAAAAGGGATGAAAAAATAGCCCTAAAAATTTAGACCTAGGAGGGCAGGGATGTAGGACCAGCAGGATTCTCTGGACAGCTAGAGGCCTTCTGTGCCTAGGTATGATTGGATCTGTGCCGCAGTAGTTCCAGGAATAGAGTAGACCTTCTTACATGGCAGATGACAGCCTAGGCTTTGGACAGTTGGCTTGGGGATTTTAGCAAAAAGAATCATGTGGTACTTTGCCTCAGCAGAGCCATCAGCACCTAAATGTAAAGCTTCTTTTAGTACCAAGGAAACTCCAAGAATTGTCACAATACGGTAAGTAGAAGACTGTGAATGGGAGGCTTTGTAAATGGTAAAATGCTATACAGGTATGCTGTATCAGACTAGATTTGAGCCGTTACCTGCAGCTGATGAGCTCCAAAAAGAGCGAAACCTATTAGGTCCTGCAGTACTGGCTTGAGATAGTATAAAACCTTGATTACGTTCCATTTGTATGTTGTTTTGTTCTGTCATATTTTGTACTGGGGAAGGGAACAGCTCCCATTTAGTCTCCTTGAGCTAGTGTATTTCCTCTGCAGTCCATTTTCTTATAAGTCACCTGAATGAGATCATCCCAAAAGGGAAATCTGATCAAGTCTGATTAGATTGTGACCCGGTCTGATCCAAATGG